AGGGGTAACGCCTGTTCCCTGCTTCTCTTGCAGACCCCGGGAATGCCCATCCCACAGTATCCATACGGAGACAACAATCCAGGGGTCACGCCGCAGCCCAGACCCCCGGAGGACACGTGGGCTGCCCCCACCACCTACGGGGTGCAGCCGCGGTACGCGTGGCCCGCTGCTCCGGTGCACGGGAACCTGTTCGTCTCCGATTCACACCCAGCCTGGACTGGCAGCGGAGCTCCTTCCCACCCTCCCGCGTGGGACTCAAAGGTACAGCTGATGCTTCTACAGCGCGTGCCTGTGCTAGCTCCCGGCTGCGGTCAGACCTCCTAGGTGATACAGCTTCCCGCAAAGCCTGCCTCTGTCTCCTGGGAATGCCCCTTTCTCCGAGCACAGTTAGTTTAGGCAGAAACAAAGCAGCAGGTATCCAGAGTACTGCCAGCAAAATCTCCTGTCTGCAAACAGAAAACCAAAATCGACGGCTGTGATTCCAGAAAGGTACTGGAGATACCAGATGTCCCAGGCCAGGTCTTGAAACGGGTCAGACCTTGTCCTGCTTGTCCAGCTCTTTCCTCTCAAGCAGCTGACATTGGCAGAAATCCTCCCATAGAGTGCGGGACTAACCTGCGGGGCAGTTTGCAGACTCTGCTATTCCTCTACAAGTACTTGTTTTGGGCACAGTCATCCTCTACCGAGAAATGTTTTAAGCAAAAAATCTGAGGAAATGATGCACTTGGTGGGGTCTGTTCATGCCGGCTTCCTCTGGGTTTGCTCAGGAGTCAAATGACTCTCCAGAGGTTTGGTCCGCAGGCCGCAGCGCTGGCGTGTGCAGCAGCAGCCCTGATGGGGGGATGTGTGGATTTGGGGGTGGGCACTGCTGTTATCTGGGAACAGTTCAAACGTGTGCCACCTGCAGACAAGTGTCTTCTCCAGAATATCCAAATGGGACCGTGCTGAAATCTATTCAGCATCTCCCCTGTTCACGGGTAACGAGTGTTCAGTGGCTCATGCTGTTTCTTCTAGACACGTGCCTCTTGCTGGGGCTCTGCTCTTTAACGGCCGGGGACTGGAGCGTGGGTCCTGTGGCCCTCTTTGGGACTTCTCGCAGAAACCAGCCCGCTTGGCAGGACACAGGGTGCCAGCCCGCAGGGACGTGATGTGTTATGACATCACGGTGTGTGACAGTCTCGAAAATGCTACCCAGATCCCTGGTAACGTCATGCATAACCCCGTCTGCCCTGTCCTCCCAGGCATGCACACCTCAAAGTAGTCACGGTGTCATCTGCTGCCCAATTCCCTCAGCCCTGCTTGCCTGCCTTTTGAGTGCAAGATTAAAAACCTGGCTTTAATGCACTGAAAGATTTTTTTTTCTTTTCTTTCTGACTGTAGGATACTGCTTACGACAAACCTGAGCAAAGTGCACACCAACACAACTACTATTCCGACGTCAATCACCAGCACTCTGGGACAGTGAATGACCACAAGCCAGCCACTCCGCCCAACGCCAAGCCATCCCCCTCCAACCCCAAGGTGCAGTACAGCGCACAGCCCCAAATGTACGACAGTGCCTCCCGGAAGCTTTTGGCTGGGAACCGGGAGGTTGGTTTTAAACCTGGTGACCAGCCTTCCACAAATTCTGCAGCCATCCAGCCAGAGATTCAGAGAATCCTCCACATTATGGGGGAGGCTGAACAGCTGGAGCAAGACGTAGATGAATTTGTAGGAAAAAAGACAGATAAATCCTACCGGCTTCTGGAGGAGATGTTGACCAAGCTGCTGTTGGAACTGGATTCCATCGAGACTGGGGGCCAGGACAGTGTTCGGCAGGCTAGGAAAGAGTCCGTCCACAGAATTCAGGCCGTACTGGAAAAACTGGAAAGAAAGGGATTGTGAAAGCACATCAGCCACAACACACAGCCTGTTGTTGAGGTTCCAAAGAGTTTTAGTTCTGTTAAATCTCAGCTCTTTCTGCTATGTACTATTGACAATGGAATAGCAATAAGTCCCGAGTTAAAAAAACAAAACAAAACCACCAAAAAACCCACCCCAACCCAGAAGCCCAGCCCCAACAAATAACTTGCCAGTGGACACATTAAGAGAGGTCTGAAGCAGCAAACTGAATTGTTTGTTTGTTCCAGGCTTTGGAAAAGCAGAACCGTCCAAGGTACTTCCGCTGTAGAGCTCCCCGGGGGGATCCGCATCCTCTTTATCAGCAGGAC